TACTTGTATGTGAATTCTGGAGTTTGAATTCTTATGATTGATCTGTAATCTTGGAAGCCTATTTACTTGCATCAATACCTGTGTTTTGCCTGAGCTTAAATCACACCTGCACACACATCACTTTGAGGTTTCTTGAATCGAATTGATTCATCACTGTGTTTCAATTTCTATATTGATCATCTAGAAAAGATTTTTTAAAAAACATTTTATGTTATGTCCACAAGTACAGGTCACCCTTTTACAGAATCTGGAATGAGTTTGAGGGTCGAATTATAGTAATTCAATGGAAATGGGGATTACTCGATATGGAAACAGAAAATGTGGGTCATTTTGGTCCAACAGAGGGTTGCAAAAACCCTTGATGATCCTACAACTTTTTCTGATGAGTTAAAATCTAAACCTGCTGAAATTGAAAAAATGAATGAAACTACTTATAGTTCTATAATTTTTCACTTATCTGATAATATTGTTAGACAAGTTGATAGTGCTAAAGATGTTAGAACTTTGTGGACTGCTTTAGATGCCTTATTCTTGACTAAAACTTTGCCTAACAAGATATATCTGTTAGAGAAGTTATTTAGTTTTAAGATGGACCCGGAGAAGTATGTGGAAAGGAATTTGAGTGACTATAGCATAATTGTTAAGAGTATAGCTCACAATGACAAGAAATTTGAGGATGAGGATTTAGTTGTCATACCGTTGAATTCTTTACCTAAATTTTATAAAGAAATCAGAAATGCCATAAAATATGGTAGGGACACTCTTTCACAAGCTATTGTTGTAGATGTGTTAAAATCGAGAGAACTTGAATTGAAAAGAGATAACATAATTAATTCTAGAGAAGACAGTCTATTTGTTAGTGGAAGACCTGAAAAGAAAGACTTTAACTTTCATAACAAGAAAGGAATGGAAAATCTAAAATGAGATCCAAATCTAAAGATAAAATTGGTAAGAAATGTTATAACTGTGCAAAGTTATGACATTTCAAGAGGGACTGCTTTGACAGGAAAAAGAAACAAAAAGACTTGAACAATACTGTTCTAAATAATACTGTCATTGATTTTGAATTCGGTAATTTACATGTTCTAAATGTGTCTCAGGAAAAAATTGACAAAAATTGGATCCTGGACACAGGGTGCACTTTTCATATATGCCCTGAGAAGTCTTGATTTTATAACTGTGGAGAGACTGAACCTAGGAAGGTTTAAATGGGAGACAATAATTCTCAGAATGTGGTTGGGATTGGTGACATTACCATCAGGATGAATGATGAAGCTGTCATGCAACTCAGAGATGTAAGATATGTCTCTAATTTGAAGATGGACCTTATTTCCTTAGGTACTCTTGAAGATGAGAGATATACCTTTAAATCTGGAAATAACGTTTTGAAATTTTTAAGGGATCTCTAATAATTATGAAAGGACCAAAGAGGAATGGACTGTACTATCTTGAGGGTAAAACTGAAACATCACCCGATTCTAGTCTTCTTACAGTTAGTAAAGACAAAACTGAACTCTGGCATAATAGAATGGGTCATATTGGTCAGAAATTACTTGGAAAAGATGATATTGAAGCTATAGACTTCTGTGAGACTTGTGTTTTTGGTAAGTCTCATAAGGTGAGTTTTGAAGCTAGCTCTCATAGAACCAGCAGACCATTGGACTATGTCCATGCTGATCTATGGGGCCCTGAGAAGCATTCCATATGAGAAGCATTCCATATTTGGTGGAAGTAAGTACTTCTTGTCCTTAGTGGATGATTACTCAAGGAAAGTTTGGATTTATCCTTTGAAGGCTAAGTCTGAAACTTTTGGAAAATTAAGAATTTGGCTTAAGTCTGTTGAGAACCAGTTGGATAAGAAACTTAAAACATTAAGAACTAACAATGGGCTTGAATTCTGTAATTTTGAATTTGACAACTTTTGTAAGTAAAATGGGATAACAAGACACAGAACAGTTAAGTATACACCTGAACAGAATGGGGTACCTGAGAGAATTAACAGGACCATAATGAAGAAGGTTAGATATATATTGATTAGCTCTGGCCTTATTAAAGGTTTTTTTTTGGGCTGAAGCTACAAGTACTGCAGCTTATCTGATTAATACGTCACCTTCCAGCAGTATATACTTTAAGACTCCACAGTAATTGTGGACAGGGGAGCCTCCAAATATAAGTCACATAAGGTTGTTTGGATGTGATGCATATGCACATCAGTCTGATCCTTTTGAACTCGGATCCCGATAGAAGTGTGTGATGTTAGGGTATCCTGAGGGTGTGAATGGGTATAAGTTATATGTTTTAGGGGTTCAGGGCATTAAGATTATTAACAGCAGGAATGTAGTTTTTAATGAATCTGAAATGCCATGTCTAAAATAGAAAACTGATGAAGTTAACAAATCTGAAACTAAGATGTTCAGACTGAGGTGAAGTTGACCAAGTTTGATTAACCTAAACCTGGAAATGATGATAATAACCCTACACATTATGAACCTGAACCTGAAATTGAACATGTAGAGGTGACTGAACTTCAAGATAACAATGAACATGTTGAAATTGAACATTTTGATGATCAGCCACCTAATTAAGACTATCAGCTTACTAGGAATAAAGCCAGAAGGCAAATCAGAAGTAATATCAGATATCAATCCCTAAATTTGACTGATTTTGCCCTAGTTTCAAGTGAAGCCCTTAAACAAATTGAACTGCCACTTATGAAGAAACTGTTAATGGAAAATATTTTGAAAATTGGTTAAAAGCTATGCAGAAAGAAATGCAATCTTTGAGTGATAACAAAACCTAGAAATTTGTTAAAAAAACCTAAAGATCAGAAATTGGTTTCATGTAAATGGATTTACAAGTTAAAGGAAGGTTTGAGCCCTAATAATCCTGTGAGGTTTAAGACGAGATTAGTGGCTAAGGGTTATACTCAAAGAGAGGGTGTGGACTACAATGAAATATTTTCACCTGTGATTAAGTATAAGACAATCAGATTAGTGTTGGTTCTTGTTGTTCAATTCAATTGGGAACAACTCGATGTAAAAACTGCATTTTTACATGGGGAGTTGGAAGAGGATATCTTCATGAGTCAACCACAAGGCTAAAGGCAAATCTGATTATGTTTGCAAGTTAGAAAAATCATTATATGGTCTGAAACAAAGCTCAAGACAATGGTATAAGAGATTTGATGCTTATGTGCTGAAGATATGGTTTAAGATAAGTGAATTTGATGCTTGCTTGTACTTTAATGACATAAAGAGTGGTTGTGAAGTTTACTTGCTACTTTATGTTGATGATATGTTTTTGGCTGGTCCTAACAAGTCTCAAATTAATGAACTGAAAGATCTTTAAAAATTTAAATTTGTCATGAAGGATTTAGGGAATGCTAGAAATATTCTTGGGATGGTTATAACTAGGAACATGGCTGAAAATAGGCTAACTATTTCACAATAAGCATATTTGAACAAAGTGGTAACAAAATTTGGTATGAAAGATAATAAAATTGTAAATGTGCATCTAGCTGGTCATATGAATATTTCACATGCTCATTCTCCTAAATCTGAATTTGAATTGAAAGAAATGGAAAATGTACCTTATGCAAATGCCATAGGTTCTGTTATGTTCTCTATGATTACTACCAGACCTGATCTTGCATTTTTCATTAGCCTCCTAAGTAGATTTATGTCCAACCCTGGCAAACCACACTGAGCTAAAATGAAATTGTTGTTGAGGTATTTGGTTGGGACTTTAAATCTAGGTTTAGTATATGAGAAAAGATCTGAGAACTTAACCCTTAAAGGCTATGTTGATGCTGACTTTACTGGTGATAAAGATAGTAGGAAATCAACCACATCATACTTCTTTACCCTGGGTGATAACTGCATAACATGGAAATCACAATTATAGCCTTTAGTTACTTTGTCTAGTACTGAATCTGAATATGTTGCCATAACTGAAGCTGTTAAGGAATGTATTTGGTTGAAAGGGATCTTAAAAGAATTAAACTTCATGCATGATACACCTATTATGTTTACTGATAGTCAAAGTGCTTTATTGCTTTGCAAGAATCATGTTTATCATGAAAGATCAAAAAATATTGAGGTGAAGTATTATTTCATTCGTGAAAAATTGTCTCAAGGTGAATTTGAACTTGTTAAGATCCATATTGACAAAAATCCCTCTGATATGGGACAAACATTCTACTTGTAGGAAAATTTAAATTGTGCTTATCTTTGTTAAATATTGACGCGGGTTAATTTTCTTGCAGGTAGTGGGCGATGATGATGAACAGTCTTCCATGTGCAAATTCACAACCGAGAGAGTGTTCATGTTATGTGAATCAAGGTAAAGAATGTGGGCTTTTTTGGTGACTCACTAACACTATAGGGCTAGTGCTATTTGTAACCTTTGTATTGTTGTTTATTATTTTACTTAGCTGCTTAAGTGTTGCACCCTTATTGGTAGCTTTGGTGTCACTTGAATTGTGCTAGTTTAGAATTATTTGTGGCCCTTGGATGGAGATCGACGGCTAGGATTGGATGAGATATTTTTCCTTGGGCTTGACCTTTGGTTTTCATTCGAGCTCCTTCCATGATACTAGAGCTGTCCGTGGGTCGGTTCGATTCGATTCTGAAGAGACACGAACCGACCCAAAACTTTCGGGTATTTAATAAATGGACTCGTCGGGTCCAAATATAATTATGGAACCGTTCGGGTTCGGTTTGGGTCGGTTCTGTTCTGTTTGGTTCCGTACCATAATTAAATTTTTTAATATTTACAGCAACACTAAATAAATATAACTAATGACATTTCATTCGTAACTTTTACAAATTAACGTAACTCAATTCAAAATCATGCAGACAAATACCAAAAAGTAGATATTAATATTACAGCAACACTACATAAAATATATTCTTGACTCAAAATACCAAGATTTTGTCCCTCGAGACCTATGGGTGCCTCAAAATGGGACAGATGTAGTAGTTCTTGACTATAATTCTACGATGGAGCTTGTCTTCCGAGGAACAAACACAGTTGCAGGGATAGATCATCTCATGCACTTACATGGATATAGTTTTTATGTAGTTGGGTCGGGATTTGGAAACTTTGACAAAGACAAAGACCCATTGAATTATAATCTCGTAGACCCTCCTCTAATGGAAACAATTGCAGTTCCTAGAAATGGTTGGATAGCAATCAGATTCAAGGCAAATAATCCAGGAGTATGGTTTATGCATTGCCATTTTGAACGTCATGTAAGTCGGGGAATGGGAATGGTATTCATTGTTAGAAATGGAAGGAGCCGAGATGCTAAAATACTGCCTCTACCTCCAGACATGCCAAGGTGTTAATGCTGAACAAAAACGAAATCTCTTGTGTTGGCCTGTTTTTATTTTTTTTATTTTTCTTCTTTCAATGAAAACCTTCCAAATGTAATTTCTATTAATTTTATGTTTTTTTTCCCTGTACCTATAGTTCTGTTGCAACTTGCAATTTTGGTAGTGTGTGCTTCATTTTTTGTAATCTAAAAATTTACCCGAATAAAGGCAATTATTTGCCTACATCTATTCAATAACACACTATAGTCCCAGGGATGACAAAAACCCATTCAACCTGATACCCATGGGTCCCTGTCTCGAACAGAGTGGAATTATCCGCTTAATCAGGTGAACGGGGTGGGGTCAGAGTGAGAGTCATTACTTCGAAACGGGTACGGAAAACATAGTCCCCGCCTTACTACCTGCGCTATTTAAAGGGCCAACGGGATGGGGGTGGGAATGACTGATCCGTCCCATACTCGCTCCATTGGCATCTCTATATAGTCCGTTTAGGAAGAATTTATAAACGAGATACAAGTTAAAAAATAATAAATGTTATCATTTATATAAATAATTTATAAATTCGTTGAACGGATAAATTATAAAGTTTCTGCAAATGTGAGGCTATGGCATAAGACCAAAAGTAGTGTCCTCAAAATGAAACGTGACCTCAAACCAATATAGCCAGCACATACAAATAGTATTGTTGACCCCAAAAAATGTACCAATGACGTGACCAAGAGATCCCAAGACATCTCACGTCGACGTAAGCTAAGTTCATGCACACTTGGACAAACTGTTGATTGCATGTGGCCCTCTCCAACGATCACATCAACTAAATGAGTGATTTAAGGTGTAGGATAGCTTTGAATGTGAGCCTCCAATCAATAAAAGGGGGATCGACTTGGGAATAAATAATGAAAAACGTATGCAGCAAGAATATAGCTTTAATAGTCTAAATTTGTAATGCGCGCCTAAGCACACCTATTATGCTCACTTTATTATTATTTTTTGCCCTTTTTGAAAACTTTTTGTTTGGCCTTGATTTCAAGTTTTTCCTTTAAAAATTGTATATTTGACTAATTGTAAAAATTATTAAGTAAATATAGTGTTTTATAATTTTAGATGTCTATATGTATTATTTTATACCAAATAATTTTTTGAATGATTAAAAATTAAAAATAAGAAAATGTTTTTTGTAAAGTCTGAAATTTGACCTCCAAGCTTAACCACGATTTACACTTTTTTGAACACCGATACAAATATAACAAAGAATAAATATTAAGATAAGAATTGTAATAATAAATTAAATCAATAATATATATATATATATATATATATATTGAAATTCTTATATAATAATCTGAAGAGAGCAAAAATATAATCTGAAGAGAGCAAAAATATCTCAAATAATAAAAAAATTTATTCCATAGCTGTCTCTATCCACCACCCTCTTCCCGCCGCCCCCGCCCTCTGTATCTCTCTCTCTCTCACACACACACACACACACACATCAAGAGTACACCTAATACACGGACAAAACACAAAAGTCCAGCATTGACTCTCTCTCTCTCACACACACACACACCAAGAGGACACCTACTACACGGACAAAACACAAAAGTCCAGCATTGAAATCTTTACCTTCTTTTTTACTGTTTCTTTCTGTACTTAGAGGCCCCGCTGGAGAGACATTATTTCTCCAAAAGTAAAAGAAATTATACCGTTGAGCTGCCGATTTTGAATTCTTTGTTTCACACCTGGACCCACAACATTGCTTCTAACGATAAGAAAAATCATTTTTGGGTGGAAATAATGCCTCTCAAACAGGCGCTTAGTGTGTGTTTGAGCTTTATTTTTTTATAAAAATGAGTTTTATAACAATAATTTTTTAAAGAAGGAGTGATTAAAAATTTGGAAAAAAATTTGAATTTATTTATAAAATTATTTTATCGAAAGAATGTATAGTTGAAAATAAGTTTAAAGATAAATGAGTTTATATATAATGGGGCTCAAACGGGAACTTGCTTTTTTATCCTTCTTTTCCACGAAAAACATAATACAATATTTCTACTATTCTACTTCTAATTAACATTTTTTTTCCCTAAAAATAAGAAAAACTGTGTTTTTTGATTTTTCTAATCTAATCCAGATTTATACGTTTTAATGGTGAACAGACTGGATCCAGTCAACACCATTAGTGGTTTAAAACCGAAGAAACTTACCGACAAGACATTATATTTTCAAAGAAACTTACCGACATTAGTGGTTTAAACGCGTTGAAAAGGTAAATATTAGCTAGTATTAATTTCCTTTAAAATTATCCGTATATGCAAGTATTCTAGAGAGAATTGTCATTTTCTAGAAACAAAAAATCAAGAAAAGGAACACCATGTGTTGCTATACAGTAACAAAGAAACGTGCCGAAAGTGAAGGACTTATTTTTCAGTTTAGTAGTGAATTTTGATTTGACAAAAAAATTGACATAATTGTATGTGGCAGTAAATGATTAGATGAAAAATTTGACTATATTTTAAACTTTTCAATGATATAATGTCACGTTATATTATCTACTAAAATACCAATTAATTACTAAATTTTCTTGTCCAGAAAGCATAACAGTATTCGCTATATTTTCATTTCCATTTCTTTCAACCACTACCAAAACGAGAGCAGCCAGCAAAAGTTAAACAATAATGAAGATTGAATATGCTCAAAGACAGGGAAATGGTGTACAGACTAATTTGGCAGCATCTAGTTTTGTGTGTGTGCGCTTTTTTTTTTCCAAACCGTCAAATCACGTGTGAACGTGTCTCCCCGTTTTTGCTCCAAATTCAACAATCTGACAATGAAAGTCAATTCAGAAGAAAGATCCAAGAAGATAAAGATGGCTTCAATTCTTGACTAGTACAAAAATTTGAAATTATTGGTAAGAGACGTGCTTCCGTAATCATCCATCTTCAACGTGGCAAAAATCAGTCTACATTTTTCTTTACCTCCTGCAGCATCTATATATATTGTATGTGTATACTTAAAACAATTCTGCAAATAAAGAAGTCCCGGATAGCCTAAAAACAGCACATGATCATATCTTTAGTGCAAACAGTGAGTTAAATATGAAGGTCTCTCTCTTACATTTAATAGGTTTTCTTCTTTTAGGAGGGGTGCTCCCTATTCATGCTGCTCTCATCAGTCGACATAAGTTTGTGGTAAGCTTATTTTTGTCATTGAGATTATGAAATAAGTTATATGCTCATGTTCATTGACATTTATTAATTTTTAGACATATCATGTGGGATTCATCTTTTTTCACGTATTAAAGTGTGAACTGTGTGAGAAGTAAGGTGAAAATGGCTGTACTCACATTTTGGGTTTCGAGAAATGATTGGCAGTGCCAAATTTAAAAAATTCTGGCAATCACTAGCAATCATAAACTCTGAAGAACTCCTTTGGTTTCGCAGTTGACAGATACTCCATACACAAGGCTATGCAGCAACAAGAGCATATTAGTAGTAAATGGACAATTTCCAGGGCCAACTATAAATGCCACTGAAGGAGATACAATAGTGGTCGATGTATATAACCAAGCAAGAGAAAATGTAACCATTCATTGGTAGGAATTTCTGTGCTTACTTGTCTATCAATATTGAATAAGATTGAAAAATATTTATAAACAAAAGTTTTAACTTATTTTTTTGACTTTAACGCTATTGAGTTGACCGTACAATACACTTAATCAAATAAACCGTCATGCGGAATCAATTTTGTAGGCATGGAGTCAAGCAACCTAGGTATCCGTGGTCAGATGGCCCTGAGTATATTACTCAGTGCCCCATTCAACCAGGTTCAAATTTTAGCCAAAAGATTATACTTTCGGATGAGATAGGAACTTTGTGGTGGCATGCTCACAGCGACTGGTCGCGTGCCACCGTGCACGGCGCTATCATCATATATCCCAAGAAGAAAAATAATTATCCTTTTCCTAAGCCTGATGCAGAAGTGCCCATCATATTAGGTACTTATAAATTGAAATATTTTACGATTGCAAAAATAGAAAAATAATAATTGACTCATAAACTGAATGTTTGAAACTGGTGGGGTATAATACAGGGGAATGGTGGAAGAGTGATGTACAGACAGTTCTTACCGATTTCCTTAATGATGGAGGGGGTCCAAATGATTCTGATGCTTTCCTCATAAATGGTCAACCTGGTGATCGCTATCCATGCTCAAGATCAGGTTGGTTTCTTAAGTGATTAAACTTAAAAGTAGTATTATTAAGCACAATGAAAAGAAAGTAGAAGTGGTTTTTAAGTAATTTATTCTTTCTAAATATGTGATTGAATAGCTTACTTTTTTCATATTTTTAACTTAAAAAATTTATTTAATTTTGAAAATAAATCTTCCTATTATTGTCAAATGAGTAATTAATAAAAAAATTAATTTATTGAGACTTTTCAAACTTAGCCAAACATTGGTAATTCTTATCCTTTTCCTATGTTACTTTGAACAAATATCTTGTACGGGAGAAAGAACAAGTCAACAACTTTATTGTAGTTTCAATGACAAATTATAATTCACAAACGGGTGCAAATTTAGGTACACAAAAAGTATAAAAGATATTCGTAACGGTAACAAATTTTAACATATGAAGAGTCATATAAAGTTTTTCTATATGACTATCACAACATATGTTAAAATCATAATGTCTTCAACTTAAGTACAAGGTTTTCAAATTTTAATCTAAAACAAGGATATTTCAGGGAAAAATTATTAAAGTTCTAATGATTTTTAGTTTTTTTTTCTATGCAGATACATTTAAGTTGACGGTGGAATATGGGAAAACTTATTTGATTAGAATGATTAATGCAGTCATGAACAATATTATGTTCTTTTCCATTGCAAACCACAGTGTCACAGTAGTTGGATCGGATGCTAGCTACATAAAGCCAATCGAAAGTGATTATATTACCATCTCTCCCGGACAAACCATTGATTTTTTGTTGAAAGCTAACCAAAAACCTAGTCACTACTACATGGCTGCCCACGTTTATGCTAGTCTACCAGGCTTCGACAACACAACCACAACAGCAATTATTGAGTACGAAGGAAATTATACCTCTCCATCGTCGCCATTGCTTCCAAGTCTTCCCATGTTCAATGATACAAATGCTTCAGTAAGTTTCACAGGAAGATTCAGAAGCTTAGGAAATAAAGATTATCCTGTCGACGTTCCTAAAAATGTGACGAATATGAATCTCTTTACATTTTCTGTCAATACGGTCCCTTGTTTTAATAATTCTTGTGATGGGCCTTTGGGTCAGCGCTTACTAGCAAGTGTGAATAACATAACCTTCGTGCAGCCTAGCATTGCCATTCTTCAGGCTTATTATCAGCGCATCAGAAATGTCTACGGTGATGACTTTCCTAGTAATCCCCCATTTACTTACAATTATACTGCAGATATTGTCCCTCAAGCCCTATGGACGCCTCGAAATGGCACAGAAGCAAGAGTTCTTGAATATAATTCTACAGTTGAGATTGTTTTCCAAGGAACAAACGCAGTTGGAGGAATAGATCATCCTATACACTTACATGGACAGAGCTTTTATGTAGTTGGGTGGGGATTTGGGAACTTTGATAGAGACAGAGATCCATTGAATTATAATCTTGTCGACCCTCCTTTAATGAACACAATAGCGGTTCCTATAAATGGTTGGACAACAGTAAGATTCAAAGCAAGTAATCCTGGTAAGTGGCATTGTCTCCTTGACTTCATTGTTATACACTCAACATACTTTTTTGTAAAATGCTACTTATACACACTGTTTTAATAGATGGAATTACATACTGCTGAGTTGGCAAGATTTCACACCACTTTGGACAAAAAAATAAAGTTAAACCAGCCTATGAAATCTTGCCAGCTCAGCACATGTAACCATATCTGTTAAAAAAATATGTACCTGTAGCAGCTTTTTTCCTATCATTTATCATCATCTTTGAAACTCGAGAGCTTATCCTAAAACGCTTATTCAATATGTAGGTGTCTGGTTGTTGCATTGCCATTTAGAACGCCATGTAAGTTGGGGAATGGAGATGGTATTCATTACCAAAGATGGCAAGGGAAAAGAAGCTAGAATGTTGCCTCCACCTCCAGACATGCCTCCATGTTGATGCTACGGCAAATTGCTAGTCACATTCTACCAACGATATCTATACATCAAGCGTAGCTGACGAGTTTATACTATATGTTGAAGAAGTAAAACATCATATGAAGATCAGTTTACTTGTAATTTGTTTGGAATTGTATACGATTTGTAAGAATAAATTGCTAGTTTAATTAATACCATAAGAAAAATAAATCCTGGCAAGTTCATTTCATAAGAATTCGGTTTTTCGAAAATACTCCTATTACTGTAAAGCCTTCATTATACATTCTTACTTCCTCGATTTTAGGTTTCTTCACCTGTAGACATTTTTTTGACAATGCATCAAAAAGTTTATTATACCAAATATTGGGAGTATAAATTATTTGCAATTTTGCCGGTTATCGTGTTCTAGAGGCCCACTCGTGAAACACTACTTCACTACTAAGCCTTCGTTTGGATAACTGGATATCAATTTATAAATATTTTATGGATTCGGTCAAAGATCAAACAATAATTTCCATGACATTTATAACTACTATTTATTATTATCTATCTACACATTTCATTGTACCTACTATTATTTCCCTTTATAAATTATCTATAAAAATTTCCAAACCGAGGCTAAATTTATTATTTTGAGTTGGCGAAATCGATTTTAAGAAAATTAGCTAGATGATATCATTTTAATTAACTCTCATGTATTAAGAGTAAAATTGAATTAGATATGAAAATTGTTGACCCCAAGCAAATTCCTGCACGTTTGGATCGGCGAACCAGACTGTGAAAGGGAGAGCGTGAATGCGGGAGATGCTTTACGACTCGAGACACAAGTGTTCGAGCATCTACGGTAGTAACTAAGATGATTGCGCTAACAAACAATTACCAATAAAATGTCATTAACCGAATATCAAACTTAACAATTGTCGAACTAGCAATACAGTATATTGAGAGTGTATTTCTTGAGTATATCTTTATGCATTAGAATCAATATTTGAAAGATCATCCATTACGATTTACAAAGACCTCCATGTATAAAATTTTGGCTAACGTGGTGATCGTTGGATCAGAATCATGTGGCCTTATCTTCCTGACCGAAGCCTCACATTATAGTCTATCATACATTAAATACAATGACAACGAGTTAGCCGTCCTATATACCTGACATTCTTTATTACAAATGTTACACTAATCATTCCTAAATATTGCCTGCAAATCTTATAAGAGATAACTTCAATTTCAAGGACTTTGGGTAAGCTGAGGGCTTTGACCAGCGGAAGCTTCGTGTTAGTGGTTCCTCATTGAAGAGTTTCAACTTCTTCTTTGATTTCTTATGTAGCTCTTCGACTTAAGAGCGTCAACCATTAGGTAGTGCTTCGACACGGGAGGTTTAGCATTTGTTTGACTTCTTTGCTTTTGACTAATTGAGTCTTTGTTGACTTCCATTTTGCAACGTGGCACTTTGACAAAGCTTGGTGGCGAGTAATAAGAGTGTATTTTACACATCTATATTGATTCATAAGCATGAATATTTGTCAGTTTATGCGTGAAATATAGCTTAATTCGTTATAAATGGTGTTTGTAGGTCAACAGTGGTGGATGTGGTGGAAAGTGAAAGAAAAATAGAGAAAAGGGGCCAAAATGAAGAATATCAAAGTTCAGGGATTAAGTTGTAAATATCGAAAAGATGAGTTGGAGAAAAAATTGAAGGCATGAAGATTAAAAGATCAAATTGAGCACGTAATTTATGCATTGGAACTAGATAATTGAGAAAAGTGGTCAAGAAATAAAAGAAGAAAAAATGAAAGGTCCAAAATGCCAACTTTTGAGAAAAAGTGAACATTATGCGGTCGCATAGTGTTTCATGCAGGGAATTCCAATGAGCAAAGTGATGATTCTATGCGACCGCATAGAAGCCAATGAGCAAAGTGATGATTCTATGCGACCGCATAGAATCCTTCTATGCGATCGCATAGAAGGAAAATTTAACGAATTTTCTAGTTTTCCTAAATTCATTCAAACTCTTATGGTAATGAATTGAGGACTCCTATATAACCCGAATAACGTCTAGAATCTAGGGTTACGCCTTCTTAGAGAGAAAAACCGACCCTAAAGAGCAAGAACAAAGGCTAGGAGGAAGATTTGCATTCCAAGATCCAAGATTTGGAGTTTTACATTGAAGAATTGGGTAATGTCTTCTCCTAAATATTTTCTTTGCTATCTTATTTTATCCATATTAGGCTAGATTTTTATTGTACTAAGTGAACGATGAACCTCACAATGTGAACTTTTAATTCTTTGTTTTGCAATTTGATTATAAACGCGAATGATGAATGTTGAATAATTTATATGCACTTTATTGTCTCCATAATTAAATGCATGTGATTATGTGAGTTTGAGTAGTCTATTTCATGCATTCGAAAGAAAGGAAATAGATTTCATAAGGTATAAATCATCGTAGGGTTCGATAGGGGATAGAAATATATCCTATACTTTACGTGAATATTTAAGTATTCATAAAACGTTATGTGTTCGTATATATTGGCATTTGTCATAGAAATATAGTCAAATGATATGCGAGAATAAAATTAACTCCACTCGAGAGAAAATGTTAAATATTTTAGGAACGTTGATTCTTCAATCAATTCACCGTACTGTCAAATTGTGAAATAAAGATTAAAAGTGAACTTATTTGGCGATTCAGGATCCTAGTACGCTTCTCATACATAGATTTCTTCAAGCATTTGCATTCAATTCATAATTTGCATTTAGTTTGTTTACTTTCATTTAAATTTACGTTCGTAGTATAATTTAGATAATTCCACATTTGAACCACTTCATTGAATCTACTTAGTTCGGTTAATGTCGAGATAATTAGCACTTGAACTAACTCAATCTCTGTGGGAACGATACTTGATCTTCAAAACCCATTTTATTACTTGATTGATGCGTACACTTGCGGTATATAATTTAGATAATTTCATAGTTTGATCATCTCTCTGAATTCACTTAAGTTTCGGTTAAGGTCGAGATAGGTAACGTTTGAACTAACTCAATCTCCGTGGGAGCGATACTTGGACTTCAAAACCCATTTTATTATTTGAACGATCCGTTCCCTTGCGGTAATCAAAGTCGAATACATTTTCGGCTTGTCGGCGAGGCGCAGCAATAGTTCCCCAAGTCTGCTAGATACATATAGAGGTTTATACCAATATAAAGCTTGATTAATTCTTATATACTAAATACACATTGAGGTTTATACCAATGAATGGTGATGATTTCGTTTACTCAGTTATAAACATCAACAATGACAGTTTCTCCTTTAGTAGCAAATATAGTTGGTCCTGGAAATTGTCCATTTATTGTCAAGATGGTCTTGTTGGTGCAAAGCCTTGAATATGGAACATCTCTCAACTACAAAAAGATAGCTTGTTAGCTTCAAAATTGTGCTGCTAAAACACTAAGAAATATAGGCATTATACTCGCCACAAGCTTATAACGACGTTCCCGACCATGGGCAGGCAGCAAGCCACCAAGAAGAAGAAATCATAATAAATGAAAGGCGAAAAGTTACATAATCAACCACTTATTGCTTAAATTGCTTGCTATATTCAGATATATTGCGCCCTGCGTTGTTGTTTGGATTAGCACAAGAGTAAACTATTTATAGGGTTGGGGGAGTAAGAAATATGAATGCTTTTCATGTTTTCCATGTTCATGAAATGATTAAAATAATTAAGTTGGTCAGATTTGGTTTTCATATTCCAATTCCATGTATTTGACCTTTCAAATGTAACTTATTTTTTCAAAGTTTTCATTTATGGTGCATACAAAATATTCTTACCGTTGTAAAACAAACAAGATACCAGAATAGTTCTGATACCAATTGTTGTGAAACAAACCATCGAATTGAGATGTTGAGGTTATATATCAAATAATAATGAAGTATTTGATCAAACAAAAGAATAAAGAAGACAAGACTGTGACAGATGAATTAAGAGATATTATTGACTCAAAAATAATGGAATAGAGAGAAATGAATATGGCAGATGTATTAAGAGATTTTATTGACTCAAGAATAATGGAGAAGAGATTGAAATTACAATAGATCCTATAATTCTAGTAATCTATTTTATCACATTATAAAATTGTATAGAAGAGTCTAATATTTATAGTGAACATCTAGAGGATGTCTAAATCCTCCTATTAGAGTTGTTGATGAAATAGGATACCAAAAAATCAAGTCCAAAACAAATTCTGACTCCCAATGAGCTTCCAAAATAGAACTTCAACTTGATATAGGACTTCAATAGCATTCCAATCTGAATTTTTCTTGATGTGTATTTCAATTAGAATTCTTCAATTACTTCAATAAGGAATTCGGGTCACACCCAAATTCTAACGATCTCAACATTGACACAAATTCCACTAAGGGATGAACTAACGTCTTTAACAATAATTAAAAAATTAATTTCTCTAACAAAACACAATACTCTACCTTTTCCAATGAATCCAAACACTACTCTATAGAATTATCTCAGATCCCAAAAATCATAATTATTTTTTAATTTACCAAAATGGACTGTAACACACCCCAAAGTAGTATCAAACCCAAATGCTTTTAAAGAATGTCAATTGCTAGATTGTATACATTCTACTCCACTTACAGCATGTTCAACAAAATCAGCATCCCCATACCCTTTTCTATTGGGTACGTCCTTAGCAATTGAATACAATGGCACCGCAGGTGATGGTGGTAAAGCAGCATTATCCATATCCTCTGAACTTCACTGAACTGTATTATTCAAATCCGACCATTTATGAGCTCCTAAAGTTATTGTACCAAATTGAATGTCCACCACGGTGCTGAACTTGTGCTGATTGACTCTTNTGCTAAACTTGTGCTGATTGACTCTTCTAAATTCTGCACGACCCTGCAAGATGTATAACTGAGACCTTTTATGTCCCTTCAATACAATTTGGGCACCATTACAAACTTTCAAAACTCCACCTCCATCAAAGAACTCA